ATTTTTCTCGCTATATATGCCAGCTGCAACTGAAAAGAAAGGAAATCTCTTTAGGACAATCTCAATATGCTTAATATTTCAAGTCCATGGATAATAGAGGGGTTTTCAATGCTATCTCATGTTTTTCCGAAAAGGTCGAGGGAACAATGATAAATCGGACATTTGGTTCAATGCATGATTTTAATTCTAGAATTAGCTTGTTAGGACTTCATGACATTGGCTATTCAACGAGTAAATTTACATATTACAATAATCAAAAAGGTATTTCCTGAATAGGGAAGCATCTAGACAGGGTGTTGGTGAATTCTACGACAATATCGTCCCTTCCAAAGCTATCTTGTAAGCATCCGCCTGCATTGTATTAAGATCATTGCCCACTGGTTTTATCATGGGATCGATATATTCCTAGGCCAAATAGATTCACTTTTAAAAAGATGTAGATCACGCACGACAACTTCCAATAATTCATTGACACCCATTGGAGGCAAAATTATAGTAGCAATGCATTTACGAATCTTCAAATGAAGCTGAAAACTTGATAGGGAACTGAAAAAATGGAATTAGAATAATGTATTTGAGGACTTGAACTAGAAGTTGAATAAGGCGTCGGATGAGGTCATTTAATCGAGAGGTTGTTCTACGGTCTCGTAGACTCGAGAGAACAATGAAAAGTCTTTAGCGACTAAACAAAAATTAGCAAGAGTGGTAAAGCAAAAGGAGATATTTCTATAGGAGAAATCAAAATGTAAATGGCTACAAACGGGAGATCGAAACTCGGCTTATTTTCATGCATGTATTAGGAAGAATAAGAATATTTCCGAGTTATTGTCAAAATAGAGGATGGCTCGGATTACCAAGATGACCTTTACATGGGTAATGCGACGGTGGATTATTATCGGAAGATGTTCAAAAGTGAGGGACTGATTGGGAGGAAGGTTTTTTCAACATAATTCCCTCTTTAGTGACAACCGAACGGAACAATGCAGCTATGGAGATACCACGAGTCAAAAGAAATTAAGTCATTGGTCTTTAGTATGGAGAAAGGTAGTGCACCGGACACTAGACAGATTCACCGGTGTGTTTTACAAAGCGAGCTAGGGAATTATTGCCAAGGATATCACTTTAACTATCCAGGAGATATTTAGAGGATGGTAAATTCCTAAAGCAACAATCGTAACAAATCTAGTGCTTATTCCCAAAGCTAATAATCCAAGTAGATTTGAAGACTTACGACCAATTAGTCTCTGTAATTTTTCATATATAATTCTCTCATAATTATTTCTAACATGCTAGGTGCAATTCTTCCTACTATAGTGTCCGGGGAGCGGATCGGTTTTGTTAAGGGGAGATTAACTCATGAAAATGTGGGTTTGGCTCAAGAACTCTTTCATGATATAGACGGAAAGATTCATGGAGGGAATGTCATTCGAAGGTAGACATGACAAAGGCCTATGATAGGTTAGAATGGGCATATCTCTTTCGGGTGTTAGAGAATTTCAGCTTTTCAAGTAGTTGGATGGATTTGATCCACAAATGTGTATCTAAATGCTGGTACTCAATCATCCTAAATGCTACATAATATGGCTTTTTTAAGTCAAGCCGTGAAGTTAGGCAAGGAGACCCTCCGTCACCGGCCCCTTTCATTCGGCTCGGGATGTGCTTTCTAGACACACCGATGGTGGGAAGAGGAATGTTGATAAACTATTATCACCTATAAGAGAGTACTCTTCTATCGATGGCCGATTGATAAATTCAAGGAAAAGTTTCTATCTATGTAGCATTAAACTATCGACAAATAGCAATGTCGGCTCAAGGCATAGGCCATTAAGGCCTAAGCCTATGGGGGCCCCAATTAAAATTTTACCCTAAACCTACACCCGTGAAGAATGAGATAAATTAGAAAATGCAGTCTCCACCTAAGTATGAGACATCATCCTTCTCTCTATTAACGAGGTCATAGGTACTAGAGTTCCCGCATTGAAAGACTCCCATTGTTGAGAGATATTATTATTTTAATATTAAAAATTCTATCTTTTCTAGATGACTTTTCAGTTACCTTCTACCTATAAAAGCTTTCAATTTTTATTTTAGTGAGACATTTTTACTTACGGAAAAGTTTCAAAAAATATTTGTGAGTGAAACAATTTTTAGATCTCCAAATTTGTTATTATATTACTTTCTTTCTCCAAACAAGGAGGGATCTCTTATAAAACCTTTTCTAATTAGCTTGGCAAAAGAATCTAAAGGTAATTTTTTAATTTATGCAAATAAAATTATGTATATAAATCATATAATATTTTATTTTTTTCTTAAATTTTTTTTTTATTTTCTCATATGATTTTCTTCGAGTTTACTTGATTAGGGCATGCAAATATAATTAGGTGCCAAAGTTTCTTACTCTTTTTATAATTATATTTTAATTTTATTATTTGAATAAAATGTCTATTAGAAAATATGAATCTGGATATGAAAAATGTAAGAAAAAAAAAGGTAGAAGAACTAATTCAATCCTAAAAAGGTGCACTTGATAGATTTGTTACTAATATTAAACCCTAAATACTAGAAGAACAAGATAAAGATTTAAATGAAAATATAGTTGAAAATTGTCAAGAAAAATATTATTTTTTCTAGAGTCACATATATTATAAAGCCGACCCCGGTAAATAGAAAGGCTCTATTCTCTGCATGGAAAGGCTTCTCAATGGCTACTGGAGCTATGACATATCTTGGAGTTCTCCTTTTTAAAGGAAGGCCACAGCTGGAGTATTTTTCAAACCTGGAGGCAAAAATAAAAGATACAGTAACAGGATGGAAAGGGAGGCTTTTATCAACTAGGGGAAATTAACACTTAGACAAAGTGTTCCATCATCCATCCCCATGTATATCATAAGGGTTTTATTTATTCCAAAAACAATGCTTGCTAAAATGCAAGGACGTCTATCCAATTTCTTTTGGAACAATGGGGATGACAATAAACATCACTAGATCAACTGGAAAGCTATCTCCCTGCCAGTACAAGAGGGTGGGTTAGGAATCAAAAATCTTCAGGAGGTGTTGAATTCTATGAAAGAGAAATTGGCTTAGTCCTTCCTAACAGGCTCATCCCTATGGAGTCAATTTGTGAGAAGGAAATATGGAGAACCCTCTCATACAAGACAACTCATTTTTCAAAAAGGCTCGGTGATATGAAAAGCTCTTCATCCTCACATCTGTTATTTGTTGAATCATTCCATCCAGATGGTTGGAGCGGGAGGGGTCAGTTTATGGAGGGATAGATGTTCTCTAATAGAACTTCTACAACCCATGGGAGACTTGCAAATCACGATTGGCCAAGCTAAGCAACATATGCACAGTTATTTATCTATACCCTTCAGATGCATATGGAACTGGAAAGGTGTATATTCAGGAACATACTGCAGATAAGTTGATTTACATACGTTCTAAGTTAGGTCAGTTTAAAATTAAGTTTATCACAAGCAAAGGAGACTCAAAGATCCTAAGTTTGATTGGTGACAAAGCATTTGGAACCAGTGGATTCCATGTAAAATTAGAATCTTGGCATGAAAGGTATTTCAGAATGCTCAACCAGTGGAGCATAACATTATGGCTTGTGGTATATGGCATCCAGATGTCAATGCTGCAGGTCATCAAGAGGGAAAACTACTAGGCATTTATTCATGCAAGGTAAGGTGGCTAAGAAAATCTGGAAGCATTTTGCAGGTATACTCAATATAGCTATAGGTATACAAGATATTCATCAATTGGCTAGAAGATGGTTGGGAAAATGCAGGCCCCCAAATCAAAAGCAATTTATCCATATGGTAGTTTTCAATTGTAGCTTGTGGGAGATATAGGTTGCTAGGAATAAATCTATTTTTGAATGGGAAGCTATGAATGAGCAGCTCATCAAATTCAACATCACTAAATGGATATATGAACTATCCGCTATGTTCCAACCTGTGGTCAGTTTAGGCTTTCATGATAAGATTAGCATGAGGGCATTGGAAGTAAGGGTTTAGCAAATGGTATGGTGCAAGGGCAAATGGATTAGATGGGAGTGTCCTCTAACAGGTAAATTTAAACTAAATTTGGATGGTGCTTTAAGAAATAATATTTGTTGTGGGAGAGGTTTATTAAGAGAGGAATGGGTCAATATGATAATGGCCTACTCTAACTTTTATGGAGCTGGAACCAACTCCAAAGGAGAGGCATTGGCTCTACCAGATGACCTTAAAATTTGCAAGGCTGAAGGACTTCCAGTTGATGTAGTAAAGGTGGATTCAACATTGGTGCTAAAGTGTTTATCTAATAAGATATCTTGTCCTTGGCAATTACAATATATTATTCGAGAATATAGAGATCTTCTTAATCCAAAATATGACAGTTCTACACACATTAAGAAAAGGTAATAGAACAGTTGATCGTATAGCTGATTGGGCACATCAACATTCTTCTCACAAGACAGATACTGATATATCTACACTACCTTCTACATGCAGAGTAGCCATTCATGATGATAATATCGACTTTTATAATTATCGAGCATAGCAAAGCATTATTCTATCATTGTAGTATTGTAGAACAGACTAGCTTATGTGACTTTCAAAGGTTTAGATTTCTTTGTCCTCTCATGATGTTTGAGCGAGGCTGGTTTATCCATTTTGTATTTTTTTCACGATTATTATTTAATATATATCTCAGGTACCGTCCTTGTTTTTTTTTAAAAAAATAATAATAATAAATAAATAAAACAAAACATATTCTAAAAAAATTAAAAAACGTAACAAAAACTTTTCTCAGTTCTTCAGCTATGTCTTCCACTTCAATCTCCACTTCTCTTCGCATGTTTACCACAAAAGTTTCAAGATCTCTTCACTCAACAGAAACCTGAATCTCCTTCTTAAAGCCCACAAATCTTTCCTTCTTTAGTTTTTCAAAACCTATTTCTTTACAAAAAAATCCCAACAAAGACTCAACCTTTACGTGCATCATCAAGCTCTATGTCTTTGCAACCCATTGAAGAACTCCCTCCAAAGCTTCAAGAGATCATCAAGCTTTTTCAATCTGTTCAAGAACCAAAAGCTAAGTATGAGCAGTTACGTTTTTATGGCAAGAATTTGAAACCACTTGATCGTGAGTGTAAAACTAGGAAGAATAAAGTTGAAGGTGTTAAAACAGAGGAATGGAAATGGCAACACAGAGAAGCATAATGAAGAAGAATCCATATTCCATTAATGATTCTAAAATCATGGTTTACATCTCACGGTCAGTTACACTTAAATACTGACAGTATAAGTTCTAGAATATTTACTATGGGAAAATTGAATAACTAACTTTCTAACAATTTTATTCTTTGCGTGCTCATCATTGGTTGATGCAGGTCTCTGCCACAAAGATACTGCCAGCTCCGAGCTTATAGGATCAGTTGACAAGTGGCATTCTTCAGGTCTGTGTGGAGCAGCTAATGTAACAAACACCTGGTATGCATGGTAAGTTGAAACCAACTCTGCTCTCACTTCCTTCTGTGATTCTTCCGTGCATATCACCATGCATATTTCCCACACGCATACTCTGCACGTGCACATTTTAACAGAAGGATGTGTTTGTCAAGTTTGGGTTAGGGCTTATTTGGATATGGGGAAGAATGTTTTGTTTGAAGCTGATTCTGATTCTGATTCTGTTTTAACTAAGGGTCTTGCTGCTTTGCTTGTTCAAGGGCTTATTCTGATTCTGTTTTCAAACAACGGTCAAAACCAGAATCAAAATCCAATTGGGTCATTTGGTGATTATGTCATTGGACCTGGCTTGGATTTGTTATTGCAGCACCTGGCAGAGAATGATCCTAATAGATATGGAACCCCGCCCGTTCGGAAGGAAGTCATTGAGGCATTGCCTACTGTGACCATCAAGGAGCCTTGGCAGTGTTCAGTGTGCTTGGATGATTTTGAGATTGAAACTGAGGCAAGGGAAATGCCATGTAAGCACAAGTTTCATGGTTGATGTATAATGCCATGGCTGGAGCTTCATAGTTCCTGTCCAGTTTGCAGGCATCATTTGCCTGTTGACGATTCAAAGGTTGATTCTGAGAGATCTAGAAATAGCGACGATCGGAGGGAGAGTGAGAAGACTAATAGTGAAGGTAATATTAGTCATGAAATTAGAGTTGAAGAGAGAGACGGTGAAGGAAGAAGTGGAAATGGGAGAAGGTTTTCCTTTCCATGGCCTTTCAATAACTTGTTTTCATCTTCATCAGGTTCTCAAGCTGGTGGAAGCCATCCATCCTCAACAGTGTCATCTGCCTAATTTTTTAGGAGTCGTCTCTCTTTCAAGGAGCGGTAAACTTACAGTTTATCGATAGAAGTTAGAAATAATGGACATCGGATAATTTAGATTAAATTTATTTAATTTTTAATTAGGTAATTTTATATTTTGAATCTGAAATTTATCAAAAGACAGCATTGAAGGTTAAAAATGCCGTAATTTTTTTTTTAAAAAAAAACATGGATATATTTTATCTTAAAATGAAACGAAGAGTCAAGAGTTGGGAATTGGAAAGCAGGCGCCCTGTCCGTATCCACATGTGGCGCCAACCTTAAGAAACACGCCAAAGAAATAAAAGAAGTGGGGATGCGAGCACACCATTCAAATCGATCGTTCGAGCTCGTGAGGTGATCGTGCGATTTCTGTCATTCGCTTGTTGCATTAGAGCGATATCGTGCGGTTTCAGTGATTTTGGAACGTATGTATTAAAAACAAAAAAACATGGGACAGCGCAACAGGATAAAGATGCAAGAACTGCTCATGAACCCCATTACTAAAAAGGGAATACATTTTGATTTGTCCTCTCAGATTTAAAATTTTGTTTCTATCAACTATCTTTTTTAATTTTTATTAAATTAATTTAATAAATTTTAATATAATTAAATGATAAATATTTTAGTATTGTTTTAATATGTTAAGAAGTCAATTGAAATGTAAAGAAATATCATATTATTAATTATGTTAGTTTAATAAATGAAAGAAAAAAATTCTTACCAAATAACGATATTATTGTTGTTTGTACTATGTAGTTTGGTGAGGTAATGTACTAAAGTTATGAGATATTTGCAATAAATTAATGATTACTACCAAGGCTTTTTATTGGCCCTATCATTGGATTTCCTATCTACTCCTTAAGCACAAGTCCATGCGACTTTTCTTCTCCATATAATGAGAAAGTGGTTAATTCTGGATTTATATAATGACGTAAGGATTCAATTTTTATATCATGTTCTTGTATATTAAGCGAGTTTTTAATCTATCATTAAGATAATTTTTGTTCAATATTACATGATTTGATCATGTTTAATTTTTGTTGCCTCGTAAATGAATAGGCATACTTCGATCACCAACCCATATTCTCTCCCACTTTGGCCAAAATTTAGCCAAGCACAAGCACAAAATTATTATTTTTTTCTTTTTAACTTTCTCCCTCGTTCCTTCTTCTTTCTTCCATTCTCCTCTAAAAATTCAGCCAAAATCACTCCAACACAACCAATCCTATCACATTTCTAAACGTCATAATTTCTTTTTTTGATCATAACCTCAATATTTAATCTAAAACCAAGCTCTAACCTCAATCTACACCCCTAAACCTTAGTATTGACTTTTTCCATCTTCCCCTCACCTTTTTACGACCAATCACTATCAAAACTGTCACTTTTCATTTTTTGGTCATCCACCACCTCAAACAACCGTTAATCATCCAAACCTAAGCCTAACACACAAACATGACACTTTTTCACTCATAAATTACACTAAAACTCTAAATATCAATCATTCATATGATTTGCATATACTCATTCATCTAAGATAGATTTTTATAATAAAATTAGTCGTGGAAATCACATGACACTTCAAAAAGAGTTTTAGAAAGGTAATTGAATATTTTTTAGGGAATCGGAGGCATAAAAGCTCCTCTAAACAAAATCGTGACATTCACAAACAAATAATAAGACATTAACAAATAAGATTTACCGACTTTGAAAGAAAACCAACCTTCGACTTGCACCTTATCTTCAATAATGTGAGAAATTCGCTCCAAACAAAGGACACATAAGCTAAGAGACAATGGATCACTTTGTTTGATATCTCTAGTAGAGAAAAAAAAAGCTTGTTTTGGATGTTAGTATAGGTGGCCAAGGTCTAAACATGTTTGGATGCCCCGAGTTAATGTATTATTGTATCATTTATTTTAATAATAATAAAAAGGTCATTCCATTAATTCTTGTGTTTCATGTTGATAAATTCGGTAAAATTAGATAAACGTCCTCATAATATGCATTTGTAATAGTGATTGATCGAAACATGTGAGACAAACACTAATACGTATAAATGATATCATTAAACGTCCCAAGTCGTAGCATTATCAAGAATAGACATTAACTATATACGGATAGACTTGTGAGTGCTATGCCGATGCTATATGATAGCGAGTAGGATATCTTACACCTATTGACATAATGATGCCAAAGCAAGCACTTAGGTGATTTATATTAGAGAATATATCATCTGGACTTGAGTCGCCATGAGAATTCATTTGTCTTTAGTCTATAAGAATCTCGGACGAGAATGATACAAATGATCATTAGACTCGAAGTCATCATGGTTGTCTCATTAGAGAATCTATGTTGTAGCGTCCTTAACCTAATTCCTTACAAAAAAACTTCGTATAACTTAACCATTTTAGTTCTATAAAACTCAATTAATTACAAAATATCACTTAGGATCATTAAAACCTCATATTAGAAAGATTAGATTTTTTTTTATTATTATTCAACTAATCAACAACATTCCTTCCACTTATAACCCTTGGATATTCAATCAAAACCACTTTTTCTTTGCTTATAAACACGTCTCAAAACACCTCCAGGAGTTCATATTTACATAGTTACATATACAATTCAAAACTCTCCTAGGATGCATATGCTCGGCATAATGAGAGAGAGGAGAGGGAGATCACCAACTGACTCGTTACTCATATCGTGAAATGAGCGGCAAAACAAGCTCTAAGCTTCTTAACTTCTTGTACCTAAAAAGTAATTGCATTTTAATGAGATGCTTACTCAATGAGAGAACAATAATTCATTGAAACCATAACATGCAATCACATCATCCAGATATCATCACATATAAACAATACATGGAGTTCATATAACTCTAAGATTACATGCTTTCCTTTTTTCTTATCGGTTATGACTTGGACATGTCAAGTTCCGCCCGGGTACTTGTAACTTGTAAACTTGTACACATGTATTGCTTGGCTAGCTTTTATAACTTGTAATTGACCCATTGGGTCCTTGTAAACTTGTAAACTTGTATTTACGAAACTTGGATAAGCCAGTCATAACCTTAACCTCTTAGCTTGCATATATCATGAATGTTTCACATATAGCATATACAACATCCATGGCTTACATCATGGTACATATCCATTATAACATCAATAAACATAACGTTTGCGTCAACTAGCAAACGGCACATCATTCACATCATGATATCAATATCAATACACATAACATCAATAAACACAACGTTTGCATCAACTAGCAAACGACACATCATTCACATCATAGAAATATAATATTAGCACTCAATAGCAATAACACATCACAAGCACAACGATTATTATTCAACTCACAAAAATGACGTCTTCGTCGTTTATCAATGCATCGCGTCTCGCACCTCACACTCCTCGACGTCTATAAACACATACACATATACTTTTATAAGTCATTTTATCATTATCAAACTTCTAAATATGCTTAAGGTACAAAATATGACTTTAGGGTTAACTTATTCCTTTATGGGTACTTGACCCCTTTTCACTCTTTCTACCATAAGTCTCAAAATACAGATTCAAATGATGCAATTCTAGTTTCACATCAAACTAGACTCATAGGGCTCTAACATATCCAAAAATCAAGTCTAGGTACGAAATACACAACTCATGATGATTTTCTAAAAATCAGAGTGGCTGCCAGTTGTTTATGGGTCCTTGACCTCTTGACAGTTCACACTCTTTGTACTATAAATCTTAAAATACAGGGTAAAATGAAACAATTCTAGTTTTACATGAACCTAGACTCAAAGGGGTCTAACATATCCAAAACTCAGCCCAATATTCCATATACATGATTTATTCTAGATTTTTAAACTCTAACTAGCTTCCAGCACCCTTGTTACCGAGCAGTCCCCAAACAAACAATAATAAATCTAGATTGGGACATGATCAAGACCTAATTCGTTTTTTAAAAAGAACTAGACATATCAATATAAAACATATCCAAAAATCAGATCTAAATACTCAACACCCAAAGAATACCATATTTTTAAAGTTTGCACACTAATCTGCCAGCATCAGATCACCCAGAACAACATGTGTTCAAACCATCATAACCCGAAATATAAATCACTAAATACAAAACCCTTTCACAGATAGCTAGATAAGACACAAACCAACAATTTGTATTCTTACAAATCGTTCCAGATCGGACCCTAAAGTCTCGAAATCAAGAGTGCAAAACAGAGCTGGGGATGAACTTACCTAGATTTCCAGCTTGATCATCCGAATTTGACAAAGAAATGGGGTTTTTCTCTCTTTCTCTCTCTCAAAACGGGAAACCAGATGGGATAAGAAGAGATAATGATCAGGTAAGTAATCTTGATAAGGTTGTGAAGATATTTTGGCAAAGTTCGTTTTGGTCCCTCAAGTTTTAGCTTGTTTTTATTCTAGTCCCCAAACTTAGATTATATTCAATTAAGTCCCTCATTCTTCCTATTATTCCAAATACTTACAATTGAGCCCCTATTTCTTCCTATTGTTTCAAATACTTATTATCCAATACCCCACTAACATGTCATATGCAGGTATAATTATATGCGTGTAATTTCTAAGTATGCGTGTATGCATGAACGAGTGTATATTTTTGGGACGGGGTTATTACAATTCTCCCCTCCTTAAAAGAATTTCGTCCTCGAAATTCCTTTACCTGTATCGAGGAAACAAATGAGGATAATGGTTGCGCATATATTCTTCGATCTCCCAAGTTGCCTCTTCCTTAGCATGGTTTCTCCATAAAACCTTCACCATAGGCATTTCTCTTTTCCTTAAGCTGTCTTAACTTTCGGTCAAGAATTTGTACTTGGTTCCTCCATATAACTCAAGTTGTCGGATACCTCTATTTCACGAGGCTTGAACCACATGTGAGGGATCAGATTGGTATCTTTTTAATATACTTACATGGAAGACGTCATGTAAGCTG